CTTGCAAGAGGCGACATATAGCATTTTTGGTTGCTATAGGTTCCCTGAGTCACATCCATGATCATAAACAAGGGTTTCACATGGCTTTAGATCCATTGCGACCACGAAAGACAGTAGTCAATAGGCGGCACGCCCAAGTGGCAATTCCCCATGGCAGTTGCACTATTTCACGGCACAACACCAGACTACAATGTCGAGCGGAAGCTATCGTCCTACGTGAGTTCTTTCTCTTTGTGCAACACTCTACTTTTTTTAATAGTGCGGCTTTGATTTACTAATTTAGGCTATGTTTTATTTGCACGTTTTTATTGATGACTGTACATAGAAATGAATAATTATATTTTTCTGATTGGTTCTTCATACCATATGAAAGAATTATATTAATTATGTATTGAAGAAGATTTATTACAAAGATATAGCGGAATAATCCATTTAAGATAATACTAGACAAATGATGTTTTTGGTATAACATGAGCGGATTTATTGCTTTACAATTCACTTTCAATGCAAATATTGACATAGTCACACCGGGGGAAAAAGTGCTTGCCTCGCTCTCCGCGCGAGGGGGGTGGGTGGGGGTGAACTCACGTCGCCGCCCCTCTTTCCTTCCTACTATCCCGCTCTGGAATAGTCGGATTAGGCTAGTGGGTGAAGCCCGTCTTGGTGGACAACATCGGCTAGGGCGAGGTCCTCCTAGTGTGGCGTGTCGCCTTGGCCGACATGGCAAACTCGCGGAGCGACGGATTCGGTGGCGTCCTTGCTCGGTGGCTCATCAGAGAGATCGAGTTCACGGGTTTGGGTAGGTCAGGACTCAGGATTTGAATTGGGGGAAGGACTCACAAGCACTTGCATGTGGTGGCTGTGGGTGCCCCCCGCTATCATAGTGGTTGTCACCATCGCCTTATAGCCATTCCTGCACCTCCTGCCAGTTGGTCGATGGCCTCACCTCCTTAGTTTCTCACTATCTCAGTTGATTGTGTCGTCTCGTCGCATCTGGGCCTCTTTTAAGGATCTAGGTTGAGGATGTGTTCCGGTTAGAAGAGGAGACACACTCTGTACCGCACGACCGAGTGGTGTCGGGTGGTGTTCGACGCAATGATGGTTTCAATTGGTGGAGTTGGATCGTTTCCTATTTTTGGGCGAAGTATGATAGCGGTCAAAATTGCCAGTTTCCTCCCCCACCGAATCGTAAAATTACAGATTCATTCCTCGTTCTTTTTTCCCTTTCCTATAAACCCACGTCAACGGAAGAGGTGGACAACGTCGTCGTACTAGTCGTTACCATTGCCTTATAGCCATCCCCTCACCTCCTGCCCGCTGGTTGATGGCCTCGCCTCCTTAATCCCTCGTCGTCCATGTTAATTGTGTCGGCTCGTTGCATCTGGGCCTCTTTCAGCGTCTAGGCTGAGACTGCGTTTCGGTTAGAAGAGGAGACACACTCTGCACCACACGATTGAGTGGTGTTGGACGCAACAACGGTTTCAATCAATGGAGTTGGATCGTTTCCTATTTTTGGCCGAAGTCTGCCAGTATGGTCAAAATTGACGGTTTCCTCCCCACTGAATTGCAAAATTACAGATACACCCGTCATTCTTTTTTCCTTTCCTATAAACCCACGTCAACAAAAGAGGCAGACAACACCGTCGTACTAGTCGTCACCGTCGCCTTATAGCAATCCCCCACCTCCTGTCCGCTGGTCGATGGCCTCACTTCCTTAGTCCCTCGTCGTCCATGTTGATTGTGTTGTCTCGTCGCATCTGGGCCTCTTTCAACGTCTAGGTCGAGGTTGCATTCCGGCTAGAAGATGAGACAAGCTCTGCACTGCACGATCGAGTGGTGTCGGATGGTGTTGGACACAACGACGGTTCCAATCGATGGAGTTGGATCGTTTCCTATTTTTGGTCGAAGTCTGTCACCAGGGTCAAATTGCCGGTTTCCTCCCCACCGAATCACAAAATTACAGATTCATCCCTCATTCTTTTTTCTCTTTCCTATAAACCCATGTCAACGGAAGAGGCAAACAACACCACCGTAGTAGTCGTCACCGCCACCTTATAGCCATCCCCTACCTCCCACCCGCTGGTCGATGGCCTCACCTCCTTAGTCCCTCGTCGTCCACGTTGATTGTGTCGGCCCGTCGCATCTGGGCCTCTTCCATCATCTAGGTCGAGGCTACATTTCAGTCAGAAGAGGAGACGCGCTCCGCACCGCACCACACGATCGAGGGAGGTCGGACGGTGTCTGATGCATCAACGGTCTCAATCGGCGGAGTCGGATCGTTTCCTATTCTTGGCCGAAGTTTGCGGGTCAAAATTGCCAATTTCCTCCCCGTCGAATCGCAAAACCATCCCTCGTTATTTTCCCCTTTTCCATAAACCCACATCAACTACAGAGGTGCAGAGCACATATACAAACTTGTACGCATTCACGAGGGCCTTTTTTCAATGCAATCCATCCACATCCATCCATCCATCCACCCAAACAGAGATGACATACAAAGTTGGAACTTTTCGAAGGGTTCAAAGATAAAAATCGTAGCTTTTCGCATAGAACAAAAACCGCCGTCTCCGGAGCAAAGGAAAGACGGGGCCTTTCACTCCTCTTCCTCTTCCCCTCACCAGAGTCGTCCTGAGTCCTGACCTACCCAAGCCTCCAATCCAATCCAATCCGGCCGCCGCGGCGTGGCCTAGCCTCGCCGCCGGCCCCTCACCCGCGTCGCCGGCCCCGTCCTAGCCCCCACCGCCGTCTCCGCCCGCAGCCACGGGCGGTTACTATTTGAGGTATGGCCCCTTGGCTGTCCGGCGGTTGATTAATCCCAAACTAAACCGGCGCAAATCGACGCACGGCGTCCAGATCTGCCCATGGATCTGGGCGATTCCGCGGCCTCCATGGCCTTGGAATCGCCGCCTCGTTCTCCTCGGGATAAGGTTGGGGATTTTTGGGTAGCATGGGGCGGGGGTTATTGAGGTGTTAGGGTTCCATGGAGATAGATCGGGGCTGCTCTTGTTGTTGTTGGATCATCTCCATGTGCTTGCTAAAAGTGGTAAACGAAGCAACCTGATGTGCAGTCACATGCTGCAAGTTGAAGAAAATAAATCTGACACTTTAGAAGGGGGGCATTAACTCAAAGAAAATGCGTGCCGATTAGTCGGGAAGCCATGCGAGATTTGGGTTTTTTCGAGCGTCTGTAACCATGGATGACAAACCTTTTTCATTGTGCGATGCGAATGCAGGACCGGCGCCGAAGTCTGAGTTGAGCGCTTTCCGCGAAGGTTTCGGAGAGCCGGATTGCCTGTCTGGGTGTTCTTCAAGGTTGAGCTCAGGTGAGAACTTTGAAATGAATGAATTGTATGCAGTTGTTGTGCTTGTCCAACTGCACTTGGGTGAATTCGGTAATGCTATGAGCACAGCTTCGATCATGATTACTGCTATTTTTAAGTGAGAATGCATCATAGGTCTCAACTAGCTTGTTCCAGTGGATGCAAAGGATCACGTCGTGCTGCATAATGTGATTGGATATCACTAGGGATAGTTTTGCAATGATGCTACACATTTATCGTATGTCTTGAATCATTTTACCGGCACTTCAGCCCCTTGATCTGTTCCACTGCGTCAAATGTTTTAAGCAGGTGACGGTACATCATAGAGGCTGTGCTTGATGTGAATATAGGAGATAGTACTCCCTCCGTAAACTAATATAAGAGCGTTTAGAACACTATTTTAGTGATCTAAACGCTCTTATATTAGTTTACAGAGGGAGTACTTACTAGTCTTAGTACGAATGATATGAGTCTGTTGAGAAAGCTAGCATTGGTGTGTGGGTGATTAGGGAAACATGTTTGTTGAGAATTCTGACATTGTTGTGTGAACTGTGGCATGGGTCTCAGCCGTTATCATTTCAATCAATTTGATGAGGACATCAATACAATTGTTACACCCACAGCACCTCCGCCTCTATCACAATTTCTGTATGCCGCTGGTGAAAGATGTAATGTTCCATTCACTATTGCAATGTAATATAAAGAATATTGTTATGTTACTTCGGCAAAGGAAAACTGTTGTTTATGTTTTTTAAGGTAAACATGCTGTATATAGTTAAAATTATCTACATCGTTTGTCCTAGTATTGGACATGGATAACTTTTATAACTTTCTGATGATATATTTTATAATTTACTAATTACTACTACTCCCTCCGTCCCGAATTAGTTGTCTCAGATTTGTCTAGATACGGATGTATCTAGACACTTTTTAGATGCATCCGTATCTAGACAAATCTGAGACAACTAATTCGGGACGGAGGTAATAGTATTTTAAGGTGAACGGAATCTTATCAACCGTTTCCTTTACTTATTTGATTGAAGATCATACGATGAGTTACTAAAACGAGGATAAATAAGTTCAAATAACATGATTGCAATTACACCTTTCAGTGCTTTTGCACATGTAGTTTGTGCTGCCACTTCATCAGACTAGGACATATATTGAACCGGAGCACCTAATTATACAGGTCTTGGACATAACAGGGGGCTAGGATATATCAAATCATCTAGTCTCTTGTATTAATCTCATCAGTTCTTGTTAAGAGTTGATTTTACCGCTCTGGTTAGTGTAATATGATCGCTGTTGGTTGAACATATGAATCAATTGGATAGTTAGATTCAATATCTGCAAGGTGCAAATTAATTATCTTAATTGATTGAAATCTTAACTGTATGTAAATTTTATATATAACTTGGATTGCATTGACTGAAGCTCAAACTTGTTAGTTTATTGATAACTTGGATGAGCAGAAAACATATAAATCAATTTCGTACCTTCACTGTTGAAGCTGGTTAACATAAGTTCTTTTTCCCCTTTGGCTGCCTTTCTGATTTCAACATTTTCTGATACTTGTGTATATATCTCGAATAATTAGACTCAGTAAAGATGTAATCATTCCTAGATATGTTTCGATGTTAAATTGACTAGTTATGTTCTTCTAATTGGTCCCAGAACAGCATGTCCAAGATGCCAAATCCAGAGAAGAAGTTGTTCAGGATGCCAAGCGCAGATGCCGAGATGGCTGCACTGCACAAGGAATGGGATGATGCTCGGTGTCCAATTTGCATGGACCATCCTCACAATGCTGTACTTCTGTTGTGCAGTTCTCATGACAAAGGATGCAGATCCTACATATGTGATACAAGCTACAGACACTCAAATTGCCTAGACAGATTCAGGAAAATGAAAGTGAACCGCATGGACAGTTCATCACAGCCAAGCTCTTCCTTGCCTGGAGATACAAGTAACCAAAGTGCTTCACAGAGATCCCATCTCGGTCCCAGTAGAGGGAGCCCCAGGCTGTTAATCGATGTACCTGAATTCCGTGAAAATCTCAGTCATGAACATGTCATCCGTAGCCCTGCAGCCGTATCTGGACAACAAGAAGGAACTAACTATAATCAAGGTCCAGTAACATTGGAAGCTCTTATGGGACAAGTGACTGGGCAAGTCGAGTCAGCTGAGGCATCCAACTCAAACGAATTGATGTGCCCACTGTGTAGGGGTGCTGTGAAGGGCTGGGAGATCATCAAAGATGCCAGACAGTACCTGGATGAGAAGCCAAGAAGCTGCTCGCGGGAAGCATGCGCATTTTCTGGTACCTATGGTGCGCTCCGTAGACATGCCAGGAGGGTGCACCCCACTACCAGGCCTGCTGATGTGGACCCATCAAGGCGCCGCGCGTGGCACCGCCTGGAGAACCAGCGAGAGTATGGTGACATAATGAGCGCAATCAGGTCGGCTATGCCTGGGTCAGTTGTGCTTGGAGATTACGTCATTGAAGGTGGGCCAAGTGCAGATGAGCGTGAAGACGGTGGGCCAAGTGAGCGAAGTGGGTCTCTGTTGACAACGTTCTTTCTATTCCATATGATGAACAGTGGTCCGCTGAGATCAGGAGACGAGCCAAGAGCCTCATCAAGGGCCCTGAGAAGGCAGAGGCGCCGCTACCTGTGGGGAGAGAACTTGCTAGGCCTCCAATACGACGACGACGACGATGATGAGGATGAGGATAGCCTAGACGAGGAGGTTCAGAGGCCCAGGACTCGCAGGAGGTTCGTGAGGTCAAGGTCGGAGGAGCGGCGCTGACGCGTGGGCGACCATGGTAACTAAATCCTTCACCCACCGTGAGGTTCTTTACCCCATGAATTGCGATGACCCCTTGCGTGATCTTTTGCCATGCCAGCCGAGGCGCTAGGTGACATGCTGCTTCAGTCAAATGCCTAAAGTGCAGCACGGATCCTTGCGCTGGAAGATCCAGGTCAACCGTGTCGTGTTTAAAGGGTTGGATGGTTGGCCGCACAAGGCCATCCTCAGGGCATATGCTGGAACGTGTGCTCGCTCGCTGTTGTGACCGAAGCTGCTCTTGATGCACCTCGCGATGTTTGCTCGGCGTGTTACCTATATCCGTATCTATTGTATATATAGTGTTGGAAGCTAGTACCATTTACCGAATTCGTGCATGTACTCTTTTGCACTTGGTATCTTTGTTCAATTGAAGCTGGTAGGGATTGCATTTGGCCCTGATGGTTTTATGTGTTATGCTGGTTGTTCTATCTGTTCCGATTATCGCGCTCCATATGCTCCTGTCACAAATCTTTGGAGTGCCTAGTGTTGTTGGCTGATGGTTGTCCCTTTTCATTCTATTGGAACCCTTGCAGGATTATGCTCTGACTGCCGGAAGTGGAGTTTTTTAGCTCAAGCTCAAATGAGCTCGGTCTAAAATCGGGGAAAAAATCAAAAATAAATAAATAAATAATCTGAATTTTTTTGGTGAAAACATCAACAAAAGTTTTACGTGCTCATGAAATTTCATCTTGAAATCACTTTCTTGGAAGTCATGGCAAAGAAAACAAATTGATGCTCCAAAAGTGTTATTTTCGAAAGCATTTTGGAGTGTTGTTTTTTTTGCCATGACTTCTGTTAATGTCTTTTCAAGATGAAATTTCGTGGGCAAGTAAAACTTTTGTCAATGTTTGCACAAAAAAAATCAGGATTTCTTGAATGTTTTTTCTTTTTTCCTTTCTAATTTTACTGTACATATTTGAGCTCGGGAGCAGAAGATGACTTTCCCTGCTGTTCTGTTATTTTGCCTATTTGGAAAATAGAGGTTGACCTTGCTCCAGCCTCTACTTGCGAAAGTCCTCTTCCTACCTGAGCTCGGGATGAACAGTAAATTATAGGGAAAAAAATTAGAACTTATATAATTTTGTTGGTGCAAACTTCAACAAAAAACACATTCGTGGAAGTCTTGGCAAAAAAAAAGAGCACTCTAAAATGCTTTCAAAAATAGCATTTTTGGAGTGTTGATTTTGTTTTCTTTACAACGACATCGAGAAATGTCATCTTATGATAAATTTTTGCAAGCACACAAAACACTAGTCAAAGTTTGCACCAAAAAAGTTCAGATTCTTTGAATTTTTTTTGATTTTATTGTTCATTAGAGAGCATTTGAGCTCGGGAGTAGATACTCCGCCTTAGTTGAACTTTTTAAAAAATGTGCTTCCCTATTTGGCCTATAGAAAAATATTTCTTCCCAATTTGACACTACTAGTAATTTTGTTCCCTATTTAACACTTACATTTGAAATATGTGCAACTAATTTCACTTTGTGCCAGTATGTGTTAGTATGTCACATAGTGCACTAAGGGTAAAATGGTTTTTCACATCACATTTAACATTGGTAGTGGCAAAAATGGACGGAAATGTCATAGGAAACAAGCAACTGGTAGGATCAAATAGGGAAGAATTTATTTTTTGGGGCCAAAGATGGAAGCACGTTTTAAAAATGGGCCAAATAAGGCTCTAACATATACTTCCTATGTTGCAGAATATTTAATCCCTCCTTCCAAAATATTTAAAGTTTTAGTTTTATCATAAGTTAAACTTCTTTAAATTTAATCATGTTTATAGAAAAATATACAAACATCTACAACACCAAATTAGTTTCACTAATTTTTTCTATAGACTTGTCAAACTTGAAGGAGTCTAGAACTTCAAATATTTTAGATACTCCCTTCCTGTCAGAACAGAAGACCCAGCCGTATTTTTAGACCATTAGTTTGACAAAAACAATTGAAATATATATTAATAACCACTACACCATCAAATACTTCCTTCAAATATGAATTCAATTATATACCTTTTATACAATATAATAGACAAACCATTGGTTAAATTGATGATATGTTAACACATGGCAAGTTTTGCCTATATACCAAAGCATGGTCAGTAATATATTTGATCCCTTTAGCTTGACAATTCATCATAAATTGTTCTTATTTGCAAAATTTCACGCACTCTTCTATGAATTATTTGCTGGGTACTACGTATATTTTCCCTTTAGCAAACATGGCAAGGAAAATAAGCTCACAGAAAATGATAAACCCTAACAGGCATGCTACGTGCAGCCTTAGATATCATTTGCTGGTTCAATCCTTCTTGTCAACCAAAATATTCCATCAGCCACATACAACCAACCAAACGGACACACATGGCAGTCACCATAAGATCGTTGTACCGATTTGTAAAACTATCTTACCCCGACGACGGAAACTAGATATATATGGTATGTGTTTACCGGCGAACTATATATGGTCCATACAAAGTACAAACATTCTATAGCATATTTCAGGTTAACTTGTGTAGTAGCGCCCACTCGCCGGATCAAACGTTTCTCGTTCGACCGCGTCAATGGCTCGTTAATTTTTTTGCGACATGGTGAAGAACCATCCAGATTAGTCCCAAGGCTCGTGGAGGTTCAGGCTCTCCATGTTCGCCTCGATGTCTCCCTGCACACAGAAACAGGCATGGTCAGGAAATATGGCATGACAATGCAATGCAGCTGCAGGGTTCACTGTTAACCACGGCAGCAACTAGAATTGATGGTGCTGACGACAGCATAAGCCTGAACTTTCTGAATATTGACTGACAGCAATTAAATAAAAACCACTCTTAGGGAATATATGTGCATGTTCATGGGTTCTATATCGTTTTTTAGATATTTGCCGGTTGCTACATACTCCCTCCGCCCCAAAATAAGTGAGACACTTATTCTGGTACGGAGGGAGTACATCTGAAGAACAGCTACAGTCAAAACATTCACAAAATGCCCATGGTTCTCTTCAAATAACAGGACAACAAAATATTACTCTTTCAATGTCTCCACTCATACAAGTATTACTGAGTAGTAGCTTACCACACTACTGTAAAGAAAAAAGATGTGCATACCATTGATTTCAAGTCATCTGTTCCAAAGTATGATAGTCTGGCTTCATGTAACGAGTCTGCATTTATTCCCTTGCGTGCACAGCGAGTGTTTTCCTTTTCTTCATAGAAGTCAAAGTCATCCAGAATTGATGTTCCATGGCGATAAGCCTTGAAAATTTTCAACACTTCCAGACCCTGGGGAAGGCCAATCTACATAGAAGAAATAAAGGATGAGATGAAAAGAAGAGAAAATATGGACAATGAGAACCTGAAGTTAAGTTGCAACAAAGCATATGATGAGAAATAAACTTGATATTAGTCGATTTATCGACAAATACAAACATAAGAAAGCAGTAAACTGCACGCGTTCCCATGTGCAATTGTTTGCAGCTAGATTGCTACTAATCTCCACTGCGGCACTGCACCAATATCCAAGGCGTCTCTGGTGTATGGTGTGATGAGTTATCAGGAATTATCAGTGGATTTCGATATTTTACCCTTTTTAAACTTGCAGACACTTTTTAAGTTGGAAAGGTCGTAGGTGAGAGGTTGAACTAAAATTATTTGTCCAAACTCCATAGTTGCATCTCCTGACTGAATATTAGTCGCTACTCAGCTGCACATATGAATATTAGTTGCTACTCGGCTGCACATTCTTTGCAGTTAAGAACTAACTTTATCATTTATCGCCAACATGCCAATACATATGCAATATTGATCTCATTTTGATATGCTTGTTGTGTTGAACACAACAGTACTTGACATACTGAGTAGTTCAAATAGAATGTGAAATGGATGCACGGCATAAGAGATAACATTTCAATCTAGCAAAAGAAAACAAAATAGATCCATGTAGTTCTACTAGGATTCTGCTACTTTACTATACCTGCACTAGAAAACCGCTCGTGTTATTTTTTAGAAGAAACACAAAGTCAGGAAAGAGAGAAGTGGCCGTGTAAGTGACAAAGGAAAGGCAGTAGTGTTAGCGCTATGCAACTAGTAGCATGTTAGATGGATCCAAGTAATATACTGATAATCACATAGGAGCACCTTTGTTCACAGGAGGAATTTACATAAACCTGCTACTCTGAAACCTCCCAAAGTAGCAACTTTTTCTTGAACAATTATTTCTTTCGAATTTTTTTACGGTGCAGAACAAGAAAGGCGAATCATGGTACCTCTTGAGTATCCCTGCTGAATGTAACAGGTCTGTTGTCATTATTTTCTAGAGTGATATGTTTGAAGAGCCTATTCGGAATGTCCTTTACAATGTGCCAGACAACAGGGAAAAAGCCATTCCATTTATTTTGTTGCCAGAAGTCCATGGTCTTCTTGAAATCAACAGGACCTAACATCTCAGCCAATCCTACAAACTGTCCACTGGTATTAACCTGAAACAGAGAATACAATGAAAGGCTGAAACACCTGTCTCAAAAAAGAAAAAGAAAAAACCAGTTCGTACAGTAGCATTACAACGAACAATATATTTCATTGTTTCATTCAAAAATAGTGAGGAGCATCAGTGAATTAAATGCATCTGCTTTGGATAAAATCATTGCTCAGGGCCTCTTTGATTTGCAGGATTCTAAAAACACAGGAATATGAAAAACATACGATTAGAATGTCATGCTCATCTCAACCCTACAGGGTTTTGGTTTGTTTGATTGCATCATAGGAAAAACAAAGGATTCTTTCAGAGGTTTGAGTGGATGCTACAAATCCTTAGGAAAAATTCATATAGGATTCAATCCTATGAATCAAAGAACCAACATAGGAAAAATTCCTAGGATTCTAATCCTCCAAAATTTCTATGAAAATCCTTTGAATCAAAGGAGCCCCCAATCTGATGGGCAAGCTTGCGGAGGGCACATTTCAGGGAA